TATGTGTTCAGCATCATTCAGAAGTCCAGCTGCAAGGAAACACCCCCATACCTTTCCCAGAGAGGGTGAAAAGGGAAAGGAGGAGAAAGGACTCCAGTGTGTGGGGAATTTGTAGCAGTAGAAAAGAATAAATGTCCATGGCCTGTAAAATAGGCCATACTTAGCACTCTTATTGGAGATCTTTTCTTTTGGGCAAAGTAAATGAAATACTTTCTCATCCTTGGACGAAATCTGCCAAAATCAAGAATTATATCTAGCAGTACTGTTCACAGTGTTCTGTCTAAAGTGAAACATGATATTCTCCAGGTCTATCAATTGAACACATTTAATAATCATTAGATGTATCTACACATGCGCCATTTAGTACTTGTGTTAGCTTTAAACTCATTGCTACTGCACTGTAGCGGCAGTGTCACACTTCATGCCCGCTGATGCTACATCGCTGTAGCAACGAGCTATATCAACATAGTGTCTCTTATAGACATGCCCACTATAACGCTAGGCAAGCAAAATGCTCCACATCCCCGCCTGTACTTCCCTAAATACTCATCCCTCTGCCCATAGTAAAACATCCCATACACCTAAAAGTAAAACCATGCCTAATCACTGCATGATTGGGCATATGTTCTATTGAATCAAGTTAACAAAATATATTAGGGCAAAACCTTTAGCACAAATCAGTGTAGTTCTACTTCAATGAATGGAAACACCACCAAGTTCACTAGTTTTTACATCTTGCCCAAAGTAATTTCTCTTTCATGACACAAACATAAAACTGAATTTGCTAAACAAGTTTCCATGGAGTTAAGCTTATGTTATGCAGCTGAGATCAAACATCAGCACAACATGGTCTAAAAAGGAGAAAATGGTGAATATATAATAATGTTCTGGACACTGCAATATTGGCAGTATGGTCAATGCTGATACATACTTGAAAAGATGTGAAAATTTGTGGTTCATGGGTTATAAAGATACCTTTCCTCTTTTCAGAATATAACAGTTCATGATGAGTGTTTCTCCTGTACAGGCCTCTTGTTGTTTCAGTGAAGGTAAACATGGTCTCTGGGATTCCTTATAACAGATACAGTGACATAATGCAAGTGATTCCATATTAATGGATGCAATGAATCTGCATTGTCTGCCTTGTGGTAGATCTCACTATCTGCTATCTGTATTGATCTTATTGATTATGTATCATGATAATACAATATGATGCATCAAGAAAATAAAAGAGAGGAGGGAAGGAAAGCTTTTTCCTAGACAAATAGCATTCAGCTGCTCCCAATATGGCCGGTATTTGGTTGAATAAAGCCAGGTGGCCTGATTTATCTATATCTGTAAATCTATTCTTAGTTAAAAACTATTGTTTATATAGACAATTAAATGAACCTAAAGGCATTTAAAACAAAGCAACTTCATTTTTAATGTCATAATAATTATTTTCTTAAGAAAAAATTAAATTAGGACTCTACTGTAATTTAAGAATTATGACTGGGATTACCCTGACCATGTATTACCTGCCAGAGAGGGTCCTTTTGTTCAGGGAAGAGTTCAAAGTATTTGTGAGCGAGCTGAACTGGAGGTAGAGTCTGTAGTTTTAAATTAGTCCAACTTTTAACAAAGTTGGCCAAATTCACAAAGGTGTATAACCCTAGGCGGTCATTCCCATAGTTGGACAAATGTGTCATGAAGATGCTGATCTGAAAGGGAAACAAAACTGTTTAGAAACTTTACAATAGCTGGACACCAGTGGATGCGGCAGTATCTGCTTGGAAGTTCAAGTCTTGTATTTCCCCACAATAACTATTACATAACTAAACTAGATTTGTAAGGAATTACTTTGGCACATTCGATGCATTGGATTGCTAACTTGGGAGCATGCCTTTTTGTGAGTTCTACAGCTCCAGCTTTGTCTGCATCTAGACAATTACCTCAAGGAGCATTTATTCACTCATCAACTTCCCCGTGAAATGCACATATTTTACAAAATAATTCTTCTATGTTGAACTGTATATTTCCTTTTTTTACCTCATGAAATGTCATGCTTTTCATGTGTACACAAGCCAGAATATTTGCTTTTCACCCAAAATATAGAAATTTTACAATTATACTAGAAAGACAGTACTAGTGGTCCCTCCATATTCTGGCCAGCCACAACCACCCCCAACCAAGTATCCCCAATGTGAGCAGGAGTATAATATGTACCATATATATTTAAATACAAGATGAGTTTTTTTTCCCTAATTGGCATAGGAGAAACAGCCCCTTGTTTTATAATCGCATGAAAGGAAATCTGATTAAAAACACCATTTATCATTAAACTGCTGCCAAAAGCAGCATGTGCTCAGTAATGGAAACCGACTATGAAGTTGATTAAATACAACCATGACTATAAGCATGACTATAAAACATATGGCCAAAATTGAGCAAACACGCTGATGGGAAGTTACCACAAGGACAGATTAGTGCAACCCATCTGAATTAGATATGTCATAGGGCTCATTAAGCACAGTCCCCTGCACTGCTGACATTTTTTCAAGTCATGGTGTGCCACTACACTGATTACATATTTACTTCCTTTTGACAGCTGAGCTGTGCCTTTCTTTCCCATTTTCAATGATTCCCATTTCTGCATCAGCCTAGCAAACATCACAAAACAGGGCCCAAACATGCCACTCAGGATCCCTCTGTTGCCCCCTCTCTCAGCCTGCAGCATGTGATTAGCGTGGCTTTGCCCTCCATAAGCTGAAGCTGAACCACGTTGCCCTGCACTTCATCTGCATATCATATTTTGGAGGCTCCCAGGACTCATGACAAACACACTCCAGGCATGGGTGGGGGGCTAATTAATACGTGGATTCTTTGTGGGGGCATATCTGGAGTACAGACACATACTGGAATATACACACATACAGTCACTGTGGCTTGAAATCCTGTTGACTCTGCTGGGGCCCAGCCCAATGAACTATATGATAAATCACAAGCCTTTGGTTTTGGATTAATAGCTATGGATCTCATTGACTAGCATCATAGATATCAGTGTATGATACTAGTCTATGAGTTAATGTTTTCAAATTTGCTCCTCACTTCCATTTGCTCAGGGAGAGCAGGGTCTGACAGTAAGAAGAGGGGGAAAGGGTTGACGAAGGAAAAAGTTGGTGGAAAGCAGAGAGCAAAGAGGCTACTTGATCCCCAAGATTTTATTTTCCCTGCTGTAGCAGTTTAAGGGGGACAAATTCAAGGCAAACCTCCAATAATTAGATTCTATACCTGGAAAATTATAAGAAATTTATAATTTTTCCATATATAGAATCTAATTATGGGGTGGGGGGGATCATTTTATAATTGGGGGCATCTTCTATTTAAGTAAATACAGTAAAAAAACTTTTTCAAAGATGTGACTGGGTTATAGAACATTATGCCTTAACGATGTGTACCACATTTTAAGGTCTAATCCTGGCCACTCACATGATCAGGGGACAGCAGGGCAGGCCCTATGAGGAGAGGCTAAGGGACCTGGACCTGTTCAACCTTCACAATAGTGGCCATCTATAAACTTACCAGGGGGACCAGAGGAGAATAGGTGAGAGACTATTTCCCTGAGCGCCTCCCAGAGTAACAAGGAATAATGGCCACAAGTTGATTGAGAGCAGGTTCAGGCTAGACATCAGGAAGCACTTCTTCACAGTCAGGGCGGCTAGGATCTGGAACCAGCTTCCAAGGAAAGTGGTGCTGGCTTCTACCTTAGGGGTCTTTAAATGAGGCTTGATAACTACCTAACGGGGGTCATATGAGCTTAACTTAGTGGGGGTCATATGAACCCAGTATTCTTTCCTGCCCAGGGCAGGGGGTTGGACTTGATGATCTGCTCAGGTCCCCTCTGAGCCTACATCTATGAATCTATGAATCTATGGTTTCATGAAACTTGTAGAAGACTGAGGGAATGGACCTATTATCAGGTTTTCATGGAGATAAAACTTGAGCAGAGACTTTTTTCCATGTCCTATATTCCTCTATCTGTTGCTTTTCTCCTGGGTCCAAACAGGCAAAATTCAGTCCAATGTTTTTTGATAGCTCAGTATGACCTCCATTGGTTATGAATTTGATGATATATCTGAATCATTCACTATGTTTTGGACTTAAAATGATGGGTGCACTTTACAGAGAAAATGTGAAAACATTCCTAAAATGTTACCTAACCCAATTTCAGGTTTGTTTACTTAAAGATAGCAAGTCAGCTAGAGAATTTATTCTTGGAATCCAGAACTTTCAAGCTTTTATGAATGATGATATCTCAAGTAAGATATCACAAATAGATTGAATTTCTTCTTCAAAGCAATATGCTTTCTTTTTATTTATCAACCTTATTTTGTTTCTCTTTAACATGATCACTGCTTTGCAACATAGCATTTTAAGGGATAAAAAGAGGAATTTGTATGAACAGTGTGACGAATAACTTTGTATAAAGATATAAAGACAGTAAATTAAAATTCAGGACTGCAAAGGCATTAATTTATAACTTAAGTATTCACTGTTTAGCTTTATAGGATGCTATCAAGTAAGTTTTTACTACTTGTCTACTTTATTCAGTGGACTAGCCTTAAATAGGATGTACATTGACAATGGAAGTTAATAACAGAATTTTCAAGAAATGTATCCCAGTGGTAAATGATCATCATACATTTCCCTTTGTTTTCAGCTGAATGGCTGGAAGGTTACCATGAAAGAACATGCATCTGATCACAATAAGCACAAAATAACTAATCTCACCAACTGCAGTTAAGAAATAAGACATGTCATGAAGTGCATTTCTCAGTAATTATACCAGGATTCAGATAGTGTTATTATGAGGTAGGAGGTGGCAGGCAAAATTACTTTTAAATGTCCAGGAAATGCAGTGATCTTCAGGGCACGTTGACATGGAGATTTGCATTTTACCCACCCGTCTTAATGTTATTTCAGGAAGGAAAATAAAAAGAAAATCCTGTCATGCTTGTGCATTTACTTGTGCAATTATAGGGGTGGATAAGGCATCCACAGCCAATGAAATTTTCACCTTAACCATAGTCCTGTGCACCAGTCATAGCAGTGAATTAAGCCTCTTCTTCACATCAAAGAAAATGACTTCAGTGCTCCTAAATGGGAAACATACACCCCAGTATAAAATCCCAAACCAGAAGCAGCTAGATACCTGAAGGACACATACTATTCTATCAAAGTGCCACTTACATGGTAAAATATATTACAGGAAACTAAGAGATTTGGCATCACACCTAGCTATTTGAATGAGGATGAAATGAGAATAAATGATGAGGTGATGTGGGGATTCAGCAGATTAAAGATTAAACACGCCAGGATGCTTAATGATGCTGGTTTTTTTTTTTATCCATAGGGAAAATATATATTTCTTCTATATATATAGCATGGGTGTACTCTGACATCACTAGGTGCAGCTACTCATGCAATTATTATGAAACAAAAAACTCTGGAGCCATTTGAACCAGAGGAAACTGGTCCTGGGTGCAGTGTCTACACATGTGCCCAGGATAACAGTGATTTGAGCTGGGATGGAGCATCCCTGGGTTGGGAAGAAGTATGGGGGGGGGGTCAGCCTTGGGCTCTGGGGAGCAGTGTTGGGCAGGGGTGGGGCTGCCTGGGACATAAGGGTGCTAAAGTGTGGAACCATGTGGCTAGACAGCAGGCAGCCCCCACACTTTAGCACCCTCATGCCACACCTAGCCCATCACCATCTACATGTGCATTTTAGCACAGTTAGTTCCTCTGCCGTAAGATAGTACAGTGGAGTTATTTAATTTACTGCTCCCTAACACCAGTGCATGTGTAGACAATGATGCTTTACTGCAGAGCTAATTAGTCTACTCTGCAGTATCTCTGTATAGGTGCACCCACTCATTACAAGGTAAAGTCATGCTGAGCATGGCAGCCCTTAATTTTTAGGGACCCTGGTGCTAGGTGGAGCATACAGTGCCCAGCAAGACATATGGACTGTCTAGGGAAAGTTAGGTACCTAAAGAAAGGGATTAATAAAAACATGCTGAGCCATCTAAACCAGCTACTAGGAAATACCAAGGAAGAGAGCTGTGCATTTGCCCTCCCCTTTATGAGGACTTTGATGCCTAACTCTGCACTGGAGGGAAGCACTTACATCTGCTTAGTATTTATTCATAGGCACAAACCCTATTCTTCAGTTAGGCATGTAAGCAAGGTCAGTTCATACTCAGAGGAAGAAGAGGAATAGGAACTGCAACTTGAGTCTTCTATAGCCCAGCTATTTGACCTAATGACTGAACATTTCTCACACCTAGGACTGGCATTAGACTGGTAGAGAGTTATACACAGGATAAGAAGTGCTTCTCTCCTTTTTCTCCACCTGAATGCCAACCAACTTGCATAACTTAACCTCATGGCATCCCCCATGGTTTGGGACTGTAGGCAATTGCCTTGACTACTTGCCCAAAAAATGGTTCTGATATGGCCCAATAAATATTTACTTATTTAGGCAATGGGAGCAACTCCAACAAGATGACTGAGCATGATGCATGACAATGGGCTGTGTTTCTCAAATATTATTGCATTCTTCTGAGAGATGGGAGACCCTAAATAATACCCTGCTGTGAATCAGGCAGAGGAAGAGTTTGAACCCCACACATCTAGGGTATCTAGTGGCTAAAAGGGGGAA